CTCAAGTAAACATCATAGTAACATCAACAATCGGCCAAGTATAACTTAGTTCCACAAAACAAAATGGTCATTAATTTCCATTTGAATTTCTGATGGCAAGATGTGAAAGTGATGAAGATCTTATTGAAATACTTTGGCAAAGATCTCATTGATTTGATGAAGTCAAAGATGAAGTCAAAAGTCAACTTTGCAGCAGTCAACAAGTCTCTCAGATAAAAGAGTTAGAGGATTAGTGTGTCTAACAGAATGCTTAGGTAAAACCACTTTATCTTTTCTGCTGCATGAAGTTTCTTCACTTAAATGATTTTGCAAAATGCCTCTAAAATCGTTTTAAACAATTAAAAACAAAGCATTTTGACAAATTGCTTAGAATGTTCAAAACAGTATTTTAATCGATACAAATTGCTTTTAATCGATTAAAATCTTTTAGAACCCATTATGACCGATCAAATTTGAAACATGAGCGATCAGAATTTATTTCAATCGATTAAAACAGGTTCCAATCGATTAAAATCACTTAAAGGGTCAGTATGATCGATCAGAATGCAGTAATGACCGATCAGATCTGGTTATGATCGATCAGAATTGAATTATGACCGATCAGATCTGTTTCAATCGATTAAAACGTATTTCAACCGATTAAAACAACTTGGAAAAATTTTGTGCAGAGTTTTAATCGAATAAAACCTATGGTTTATCAGTTAAAATAACTTTAAAAGTTTTATAAGAAAGTTTGCAGTATTTCAATCGATTAAAACGCGAAAAAATCGATTGAATTAACATAGAAGATTTTTTGTAAAGTGTTTTAACTGATATAAACGTTGTTGTATCAGCTAAAACAAATCTGTTAAAGAATCAAGAGGGTATTAATGGATTGAAAGGACTTTTAACAGATTAGCGATATTTTCGCTTAAGCGATATTTTCCTCGCTTGAGCGAAATAATATAACATGGTTCACCATATATAAGATATAAATGTCGCTCAAGCGATTAAAGAGTCGCTTGAGCGCGACTGCACCCGAGTGTACCCATTGTTTTGAGCGACCTTAGATAGCGGTTAACAAAAACCACTTTTACAAATATATATTAGATAGCGGTTAGCTGTAAACTGTTGTCTAACGTATGTTTATAATAGCGGTTTTTTTATAACCGCTCAGTTATATCATATTTTGAAAGAGCGGTTGACAAACTGCAACGCTATAATAAATGGCGTTTAAATAGCGGTCAAACAAATAACCGCTATATAACTGGATAATTATCGATCATAACTTTCGATGACCGATTATAATTGTGAATGATCGATTATAGTTGGAGAACATCATTCATAGTTTGTGCTAAGCGATTATAGTTTTACATAATTTCGCTCTGCATCTCTCGCATCGCTCAAGCGATGACATCCTCGCTTGAGCGACTGGTGAACCACATACGAAACGTCCTACGCAGTTAGCCAACTAATATAACATGGTTCACCACATATGAGATTCAAATGTCCCTCAAGCGATTAAATCGTCGCTTGAGCGCGACTGAACCCGAGTGTCCCCATTGGTTTGAGCGTCCTTAGATAGCGGTAAATAAGAACCGCTTTTAAATATATATTACATAGGCATTTAGATAGCGGTTCGCAAAATAACCGCTATCTAAAGGCATATATGTCAAAGTGATCGACTATAATTGGATAATAATCGATCATACTTTTGATAACCGATTATGGTTGGGGAACATCGATCATAGTCTGCATCTCTCTCGCCAGCGCATGCAGAAGAAGCAGATTCTCTGATTACTCGCAGATTCTCTAATTACTCGCCGTCTGCATCATAGTCTTTGCTCTCTAATTACTCGCAGATTCTCTGTTCTCTGTTTTCGTTCACTGTTGACTATCTCAATAGTCGTAAACATAAACCATGGCTGGCAAAAGAAAAAGCTCCAAGCGCACCCACTCAGAAGCGACTTCTTCAAGTACCCAAACTGTGACCACGAAGGAGATGATAGCCCCAAAGGTCCTTGACACTTAATACTTTGTTAATAACGGATTTGACTTCATTAGCAAAATATAACCGATCATATACCACTTAAAATCGATCATCATAACGTATATTCGATTATAATAAAAAATAATCGATCATTTTATCTGATTTTTCTAATATCGCTCAAGCGAAAATATCATCGCTCGAGCGACTCTACCTGCTAAGATTGGGGATTCTCGGGATGTGTTTCGCTTGAGCGACAATATTATCGCTCGAGCGAAATCCGATTCAAACATGTGGTCACCCATGTTGCATTATGCGGCTAACTTTGATCAACGTTTAGCCACAAGTCAACAATCGCTCAAGCGAAATACTCATCGCTCGAGCGACGCCACCTGCAAAGTTGGGGATTCTCGGGTTGTGTTTCGCTTGAGCGATACTAATTTCGCTCGAGCGATATCGAATTCACTTTTAAGAGCGGTTAAAGTGGAATCGCTATTATATGATCACTTTCAAGAGACCGCTCTTAAAAGTGATCATTCAAGTGAACCGCTATCTTAAATATACTTTTCATAGCGGTTATTCCTTGGACCGCTCTCTTTAGTAGGTTTAGATAGCGGGTCTGGGAACCGCTATCTAAAGTCCCAATTTAAAAAAAAATTATTTAAATTTGAAATGCCAACGGAACCACGTTGACGATGTTGCCGGAAAAATTCTACAATGCGGTAGTGAGTGAGTACGACTGACAAGTTGGGCAAGTTCACAACCGCATGAGGAATATGTAATATGAAAAAAACTTTTTGCATATTATTGGATTCTCCAAGTTGCACAAACAACTCATACTCCTAGACGATCGGATGCTTTCTCACTTTTTTTACTTTATCGTGTCTTCATGTTCTATAGTATCTCACATTTGCATGAGACAGAACTCATCAGAATTCCAAAATAAACTTTATGATATTCTTCACTTTAGAAACCGATTAATTAAGCTTGTATGTTCTCATAAATTATGGATAATATCATCCCAAATATGTCTATTAATTCAATGAAATTTTTTATCTTTATTTTCCAAAACTTATAATTCATCTTGTTAAAAATAGACAATCTATCCGTAAATATATTCTCAACAAACAAAAGATTATTTTCACCCAATTATTTTAAATTTGAGTACCGCATAATATGATCCCAATGATTGAAAATAATGATTAAATTTATGAAGGAGATGATTGAACTTTTAATAATTTAAATTATTTTATAAAATAAGAAAAACAAAATTTTCTTTAAACAACCGCAGCGGACAACACACTTACTGAAAATGTAAAGAAATTCAAAATATAAAACACAAGATTAAAAAAAAAAGAATATATATATATATATATATATATATATATATATAATCATAGAAATTTATATCGGTTCCTCCGTACAACCATACCAACTATGTATTAAAACATTTTTATAGTTGAAGTGATTAAAAGAAATATACAAGAAAATAAATTATCCTCTAAATTTTCATCACATGTATGATAGAAGTTTTCTAAGAGAAATATATGTATTTTGAATAAAAAGCAGATGGGGCTGGACTACTGAATTCACAGCTTCAACATGGTTTCTCGTCTCTTGTCGCAACAACAACTATCTTCAAATCTCAGTTCCATTTCCATCTCCACCTTCAATTCCCACCTTAGGTGCATTTCTTGGAACTCTTTTTTTCTTTTCTTATGGCCCCCCCCTCCCTTTTTTTTCCCTCAGTACTGATTCTTAAGATTCAGGTACTTTTGTTCTGATCACCCAGAAACCCAAACTGCAAGACTCAAATCACGAAACACAAGTAAAACCGCCAAAACCTTGGCCAATCTTATCAATTCCAAACCATGGTCGATCGCGTTGGTCTCTCCTCTGCCCACCCCACTTTCCAAAACGACTGTGCTCAGAACACTTCGCCTCATCAAGGACCCTTCCAAGGCCCTTCGTTTCTTCAAGTGGGCCCAGCAAAAGGGTTTTCCCCACACAGCTCAGTCCTACTTCATCATGCTACAAATTCTGGGTCGCGAGAGGAACCTCAACGTTGCCCGAAACTTGTTATTTTCCATCGAGAAAAAGTCCAACGGAACCGTTAAGCTTGAGGATAGGTTCTTCAATACCCTCATCAGAAGCTACGCCGAAGCAGGGCTCTTTAAAGAGTCCATGAAGCTTTTTCAGACCATGAAGTCCATTGCTGTGTCCCCCTCCGTGGTTACCTTCAACACTGTTTTGTCTATTTTGCTCAGAAGGGGTCGCACCAATATGGCCAAAGAGGTGTATGATGAAATGCTTCGCACGTATGGTGTTACTCCAGACACTTGTACATACAATGTTTTGATCAGAGGGTTTTGCAAAAACTCAATGGTTGATGAAGGGTTTCGGTTTTTTAATGAGATGGCCGGGTTTAATTGTGATCCGGATGTTGTCACGTATAACACACTTGTTGATGGTTTGTGTAGAGCGGGGAAGATCAGAATTGCTCGGAATTTAGTGAATGGTATGAGCAAGAAATGTGAGGGTTTGCATCCTGATGTTGTTACTTATACTACATTGATTCGAGGATATTGTATGAAGCTAAAAGTAGATGAGGCATTGATTGTTCTTGAAGAGATGAGTAGCCGGGGCATTGAGCCGAACATGGTTACCTATAATACTTTGATAAAAGGGCTTTGTGAGGCACACAAGTTGGACAAGATGAAAGATCTTTTGGAACGGATGAAAGGCAATGGGGGTTTTAGCCCTGATACATTTACCTTTAATACGATTATTCATTCGCATTGTTGTGCAGGAAATCTGGATGAAGCATTGAAGGTGTTTGAAAGCATGAAAAAATTTCAGGTCCCCATGGATTCAGCTTCGTATAGCACTCTGATACGTAGTTTGTGTCAGAATGGGGACTATGATATGGCAGAGGTGTTGTTTGATGAGTTGTTTGAGAAGGAAATCCTTTTAAGTAATTTTGGCTCCAGGCCACTTGCTGCTGCTTATAGTCCCTTATTTCAGCATTTGTGTGAACATGGGAAGACTAAGAAGGCCGAGAGGGTGATTAGACAGTTAATGAAAAGGGGCACACAAGATCCCCAGTCGTACAATACATTGATTATGGGGCATTGTAAAGAAGGTGCATATGAAAGTGGATATGAGCTTTTGATGTGGATGCTTAGAAGAGACTTTCTTCCTGATGTTGATATTTATGATCGTTTGATTGATGGTTTTCTTTTAAAGGATAAGCCTCTACTTGCAAAGGAGACACTAGAGAAAATGCTTAAGAGCTCCTATCAACCTAAAACATTCACTTGGCATTCTATACTGGCAAAACTTTTGGAAAAAGGTTGTGCTCATGAGTCTGCCTGGGTTATTATGATGATGCTGGAGAAAAATGTTAGACAGAATATAAATCTCTCAACTAAGAATTTACAGCTACTTTTTGGATGTGGACAGCAAAAAAGAGCATTTGAGATTATTTATTTGCTTTATAAGAATGGATACCGTGTTAAAATTGAAGAAGTAGCTCAATTTCTTTATGAGAGAGGAAAGCTATCAGAAGCATGCAAACTGTTGCTTTTTAGTTTAGAAATTCATCAGAATGTCGATATTGATTTGTGTAATGCAATTGTTCTGAATCTTTGTAAAACTAACAAGGTCTCAGAAGCATTTGGTTTATGCTATGAATTGGTGGAGAACGGTTTATGTCAGGAATTGACATGCCTAAATGATCTAATAGCTGCTTTAGAGGAAGGGGGAAGAAGAGAGGAAACTGCATTTATATCAAAGAGATTACCAAGACTGGAGAACTTAGATGTATCTAAGGGAAATCATAGCTCTAAGAAGTTCAGGCCTATTAAAGTGTGAGTCGTGTTCTTTGTTGTTTCAATATTCTGTTTTCACCTTTTCCGTATTGAATCATAAGCTTCTATAGGGTGAAGATGATTTTATCTTATAGAGTAGAATGTATTAGTTTGATGTATAAATTAAAGTGATTGAGTACATGCGATAGATTGGGAAGCCAGAATAGCAGGCAAAGAGGTTAGGGACTAGTGATTCAATTGGGATTATTCTTTGAATCTAATTCTTGAGCATATCCTCAAATGCTAATATTAATAGTAATATATTTAAAATCTTTATATTAGTAATAAATTTGCTTGAAACTTATTGAATTGGTTCTTTTGCCTCAACCGCAAGAATGTAAGAACAAGGAGGTAAAACAACTACACTAATCCTTTAGGAAAAAAACCAATGTAAACATGAATTCTCGGAGCATGGGTCCGCCGCTGAGCAGCCCCTCATCGGAATGTGTCACAAGCAGCCGTAATAAGAACACTGATCTTGTACTGCAGTAGCCAGTAAGAAATCTACAAGGTGACAAAAAATAAGTCGACCTTTACCTGTTAAAAGGTATGCCCACTTTGAAGGCATCTATGTAAATAAACCCAGCTTTTTATCTTAGTAGTTCGTTTCCATTTTCTTTGATCGTATATCTTTGAGTTGTAAATCTAGTTTAGGACTTAAGATTAGATCTTTATTGAAATCCATTCAATCGAGACCCAAATGCTTCATCATCTTTTCAAGCTCTTATGAATCAAATATTTAAGAATTTCTTATGCAAGTTCGTTTTGGTGTTTTGCGATGATATATTAATTTACATTGCTTCTTGGTCTGATCATTTAAACCTAGAGAAGGTATTATCTATTATGTAGGAGCATAAACTTCATGCTAAGTTGTCAAAATGTGCTTTTGGTACACAATAGATTGCTTATTTGGATCATATGGTTTCCTCTTCTAGCGTATATATGGATCCTAAGAATATTGAATCGATTCTCAAGTGGTCAACTCCAACTACTCTTAAGAAGCTTCTTGGTTTTCTTGGTCTCACCAATTATTATTGTCGTTTCATTAAAGAATATGCTTTGTTAGCCTCTCCTTTTCATGAATTATTGAAAAGTGATTCTTTTCTTTGATCTACCACAACTCAAGCTGCTTTTAACAATCTAAAAATTGTTACCACACATGCTCATGTTCTCATTCTTCCTAATTTCTCAACCCCATTTGAATTAGAAATGAATGCCTCTAATACAGGAATTGGTGCTATATTGAGTCAGCAAGGACATCCTATTTTTTTTTTTCTTTAAGAAGCTTTCTAATAAATTACAATCTAAAGTTTATCTTCGTGAGATGGTAGCAAGAAGAGAAGTGGTCACTAAGTTTCGTCATTACTTGTTTGCGCCCATCCGTACCGATCATAAAAGTTTGTGCCCTTTAATTCAAATGTGTATATTTGGACAACCTATCAATGACATCATGATTACTGTATATCCATTCACTGCTGGAAGTACTGTAATAAAGTCATTGGAATATTATCTCAAATTTTATCTAGAATAGGCAGTGGATGAAAGAACCCAACAAGTAAAGAGTGAGAAACTTTTGCTTGCTGACCAATTTGGCATTGCCTAACATAATCATAAACTTGGATTTTCATTCCTTGCCAAAAAAATTGAGGACGAAGGTAAGAACCAAACGTGACCTCCAATTATAGAATCATGAAATTATTGAATTAACTTCAATGTAAGGGGGGACTATTTTGGCACTACCAACCTATCATTCCAATGTAGAAGACCATTTTGTTCTATGAAATAAGGAAAAGTTTGGCCAACACGCATACCTAAAAGGAAAAATGAGAATGGGAGAAGGAGGAGAGATGAGCCAAGGAAATGAATTATTTAATAATAAAAACACTGTACATTTAATATTTTTTTATTCGATTGTCGAACGGATGTTTAAAATGGGTTATCAAAATATGACATTGAGCGTACTTGTCGAAAGTGGACTTTTTTTCATAAATAATACTATTTTTAAAAATATTTCCCAAAATAGCACATCTGAAACATTACTTACACAACTAGCACTCTTTACTGTTTACGTATTAAAATAATCGATCATTTCATATTATGATCGATTATTTCGCGTAATGAACTCTCGCTCAAGCGAAGAAAACCTTCGCTTGAGCGAGGAAATCTGTAACAAAGGGGTCATCTCGGGTAACCTCTCGCTCAAGCGAAGAAACCCTTTGCTTGAGCGATAAAATCTGTAACGAAGGGGTAATCTTCGGTCAATTCTCGCTCAAGCGACGGATACATTCGCTTGAGCGAAAAGTATGATGGATTATTATCCGATTATAGTCGATCACTTTGACATATATCACTTAAGATAGCGGTTATTTCGCCAACCGCTATCTAAACTACATTTATTAGACAACAGTTAAAGCCTAACCGCTATCTAATATATATTTTTAAAAGCGGTTGTTATTAACCGCTATCTAAGGTGACTCAAGCGAAAATCACATCACTTGAACGAGGACACCTGGAAAAATGGGGGATTCTGGGGTTCTGTCTCGCTCAAGCGACGTTATGAAAGCTTGAGCGACAAGCGATTCTAATATGTGGTGAACCAAGTTATATTATTTGGCTAACTGCGTTTGACGTTTCGATATTCGGTCAACACTCGCTCAAGCGACAAAGTTATCGCTTGAGCGACGAAGCCAACAAACAAGGGGGACTCTCGGGTTCTGTCTCGCTCAAGCGACTGGTACTTTCGCTTGAGCGAGAAGTGATTGAAATATGTGGTGGCCCAAGTTGCATTATGTGGCTAACTGCGTTGGACGTTTAGCTATGGTCAAATCTCGCTCAAGTGAGAAACTCGTCGCTGGAGCGAGGAAACCTGCAACTATTTACAATGCTGAGTCACCCACCGAAGTCAGGATTCCCATGTCTTTCTGATGCACACAAGTAAAGAATCCAATGCTGAGTTACCCACCTAAGTTAGGATTCCAATCTTGGATTCCTTGCATTGGGTTAGACAAAAGCAGAAGAATCCAAACATATTTAAAGAGAACCGCTATCTTATGCGTTTTCCTCTTAAGCGGCGATTCTTCGCTTGATTATGCAGCTCCTGCAGAATGAGTTTCTTCAAAACTTTTCACAAAACTTTCTAAGTTATTTTAATTGATAACAACAAGTTTTAATTGATTAGATTAAAATAGTTAGCAAAAGGTTCCTTAAATAACCTTTGACTTCATCAAACCCACAAGATCTTCGTTTTATTAAATGATTCAATAAGATCTTCATCACTTTCAATTAATTGAAAAACTCCTAAGATTCATACATTGAGATATTTCTTAACTAACACAATCTAATGATGCGAAGTAGATGCACATGCAACATTGGGACATGTTCTTCTGCTATGACCAGGGGTATGACAATATGAACATTTTTTAATCCTACTTTGATTTTCTGTAATGTCCATCTCAGTTCTTATACGACTTGATTTTGGTCGGCCCTTTGAAGTTCTTTTCATTTCTGGATTTGCACACAAAGTAGGTCTTGTGTATGTTGGCCAATATTCTTCATTTCGCAATAATCCAAATTGTGTTCCGTATACCTTTGAAACTTGTTGTAAGGTATACACTGAATTAATATAGTTGTTGAAGTCATGGTGTGCATGTTTGCATGCAGCAAGAACATGTGAACAAGGCATGTGAAATTTTTGGAATTTCCCACAGTCACACCATAACTCATCAAGGTGAACTGCAAACTTCCCTGCTGGTCGAACTACACGCGGGTTTTGTGTTTCTTCTACTACAAATTTTGTGGTAGACCTGTCAAAAGATATGACTCTATGCGTGTTTGCCTGTGTTTGTGCTTCCTCTAAATTTGTGACCAAAATTTCAGAGTATACATGACCAGCATTGATCATGGCATCTATCTGCCTCCCTCTTTCAATGAAAAATTTGTTGCAGCGGGTGTACGTTGCGTTGACCATGGAGCAAATAGGTAGATTTCTTGTTTTTTTCAAAACAGAGTTGATAGACTCTGCTATGTTGGTCGTCATGTGGCCCCAACGTCATCCATTGTCCCATGCAAGTGCCCATTTTTCTCTGTCCAACGCATGACCATACTCTGGGTCTTGTTGTTGAATGTAATTTTCAAAGTTAAGAAAATGTTGTGGTGGGTTGTATGGTTCCATGAAGTTTGGTGCATGTGTAGGGATATGTGGTTGTTCGTCCTCTGAATCATCTTGGTGTTGACTGAGAATTTCATCTTCGTCTTCATCCTCACTAAAAGGATCAACGACTTCAATTGGGAGACCAACAATTTTGTTCTCTTGTGTGGGTAGTTCTTCGTTGATGTTGGTGGAAGGCCCACTTAGAAGTTGGGTAAAAGGGATGTAGTCATTATGTGTGGGTATTTCTGGGTCAGTGTTTGGGAAAGCTTGGTAGGGTAAGGGTAAAATTTCTGGTGAGTGTGTGTTGGGGTATGAAGAAGAAGAAGTTTTAAATGAAACAAAAATTTCAATAGCACATAGACTTGAGTTTGAATCATGAACATCGAACATGGCCTCCACGTCGTCATCATCTTTCAACTCAACAGCAATGAAGTTGTTGATCCCAACTCCGAGTCTAGTTGGACAGCGAAAATGGATGGTTGCTACATTTTCGTGGGGTTCTTTCTCCAATTTCTTGTGGATCAACTTCTTCAACCTTTGTAGAGAAATTCCTCTCTTTAAAGGAACAAGTTTTGCAGTCCCGGTATTGAAGGTAACTCCCTCCATGGGACATGGGTTCATGAAACCATCATAGTGGACAATAGTAGACACTACACCCATTTTAGGAGTGTGGAACACAAAGAAGACTAAAGGTAAGAAGAAGAAATAATGCAAATAGCTTCACAGATTTAGGAGTGTGCAATGTGAGAACTTCAAAGAATGAAAGTGGTCTATTTATAATGAAGTCCATTGGTTTGAATCCAATGCTCCCTCACATGGTTTCTGACGGACACAAAACCCAAGCAAAGTGGGTGGGTCAACATCTCTTTAAATATGTTTGGATTCTTCTGCTTTTGTCTAACCCAATGCAGGGAATCCAAGATTGGAATCCTAACTTAGGTGGGTAACTCATCATTGGATTCTTTACTTGTGTGCATCAGAAAGACATGGGAATCCTGACTTCGGTGGGTGACTCAGCATTGTAAATAGTTGCAGGTTTCCTCGCTCAAGCGATGGGGATCTCGCTTGAGCGAAAATTGACCATAGCTAAACGTCCAACGCAGTTAGCCACATAATACAACTTGGGCCACCACATATTTCAATCACTTCTCGCTTAAGCGAAAGTACATGTTGCTTGAGCGAGACAGAACCCGAGAGTCCCCCTTGTTTAATGGCTTTGTCGCTCAAGCGATGACTTTATCGCTTGAGCGATTGTTGACCGAATGTCGAAACGTCAAACGCAGTTAGCCAAATAATATAACTTGGTTCACCACATATTAGAATCACTTGTCGCTCAAGCGTTCATAACGTCGCTTGAGCGAGACAGAACCCGAGAATCCTCCATTTTTCCAGGTGTCCTCGCTCAAGCGATGTGTTTTTCGCATGAGTAACCTTAGATAGCGGTTAATATTAACCGCTGTCTAATGTTGTAAATTTTTGGAAAATATTTTTAAAAATAGTATTATTTATGAAAAAAAGTCGTGGAAATTGTGCTTCCCACTTTTTTATTTCAATAAAGAAATTCAACCAATGGAATGGTGCTGCCAGCTGTCATTTTCCCCTTGAAGTAACCATCGTCAACGGCGGCTACCATGTGTTAGAGCACTAAAAAGTTCATCCAGGCACGCTGCAAGAATCATTCTTGGAATTCATCAGTGCCATTTTTCACGTTGAACGCCCCCTATTTGTGAAAATGTCCAAAAACATTATTTTCCTTCTTCTTCTTTTTCCGTATAAAAGAGAGGAACTAGAAACCTCAGATGTTGAGCTTTTCGTAGCTTTGACCACATCGTACAATTTTCACACGGTAGTCTGACGTTACACTATGCTTGGACGGGATTTCAGGACATGGGGTTCCATCGTTCGGAGCTTATGTTTAGATGCAAGACACAGAGAAGCCTTGTCCCTTTTCCACCGTTCCTTAAAGGGTTACGAAGCTTTCAAGCCAGATTACACTGTCCTTGCTGCCATTCTCAAGTCTTGTTCTGCCCTTTTGGCTCCCAAATTGGGCAGAGCTCTGCATAGTTATGTTGTTAAACAAGGTCATGTGTTTTGCCAGGTTACCAATAAAGGATTGCTTAACATGTATGCCAAATGTGGCATGCTTGATGACTGCCTCAAGTTGTTCGATAAGCTCAATCACTGTGATCCTGTTACTTGGAATATTGTTTTGTCTGGGTTTTCAGGGTCCAACAAATGTGATTCTGATGTGATGAGAGTGTTTAAGATGATGCATTCCAGTGGAGAGGCTTTGCCAAATTCTATTTCCGTTGCTACTGTCCTTCCTGTTTGTGCTCGTTTGGGGGACCTGGATGTTGGACTGTGTGTGCATGGTTATGTTATCAAGTCTGGTTTTGAACAAGACACCCTTGGCGGAAATGCTCTCGTGTCAATGTATGCAAAGTGTGGGCTGGTGTCTCGTGATGAATATGCTGTCTTTGATGATATTGTTTACAAAGATGTTGTTTCGTGGAATGCAATGATTTCAGGCTTGGCTGAGAATGGGTTAGTGGAGGATGCATTCTTGTTGTTCAGATCAATGGTGAAAGGGCCTACACAGCCGAATTATGCGACTATTGCAAATATTCTGCCTGTTTGTTCTTTATTTGATAAGAGTGTTGCATACCGTTGTGGAAGGCAGATCCACTCTTATGTGCAGCATTGGCCTGAATTGTCAGCTAATATTTCTGTCTGTAATGCTTTGATTAGCTTTTACTTAAAAGTTGGACAAATGAGGGAAGCAGAAGCTTTGTTTTGGACCATGGATTCAAGGGATTTGGTCACATGGAATACTATTGTTGCAGGATATACATCAAGTGGCGAATGGTTAAAAGCACTGCATCTGTTTCGTAATTTAGTATCTCTGGGGACGATATTGCCAGATTCTGTGACCATGGTCAGCATACTTCCAGCTTGTGCACAATTGAAAAATTTGCAGGTGGGGAAACAAATCCACGCTTATACTTTCAGATATCCTTTCCTTTTTTATGATACTGCTATTGGAAATGCTTTAGTTAGTTTCTATGCAAAGTGTGGCAATAAAGAAGAGGCATATCATACTTTTTCTATGATAGCCAGGAAAGATTTGATTTCGTGGAATTATATTTTTGATGCCTTTGGAGAGAAGAGGTATCATTCAAGATTTATCAACTTGTTACATCGGATGCTTAAACTCGAAATTAGACCTGATTCAGTTACAATACTGACCTTAATCCAATTTTGTGTCTCTCTTTTGAGTGTAGAAAAGGTTAAAGAAATACATAACTATTCAATTAGAACTGGGTATTTATTAAGTGATACTGCACCAACAGTTGGGAATGCAATACTTGATGCATACACCAAATGTGGAAACATGGAGTATGCTAACAAAATGTTTCAGAAAAAAGGAATCTGGTCACATGCAATTCACTGATATCTGGTTATGTAGGTTTAGGATCACATCATGAAGCAAATATGATATTTAGTGGAATGTCACAGACTGACTCTACGACATGGAATCTTATGGTTCGAGTATATGCAGAAAATTATTGTCTTGAACAAGCTCATAGATTGTTCCATGCGTTACAAGCTCAAGGAATGAAGCCTGATACGGTGACTATCATGAGCTTCCTTCCAGTATGCACACAAATGGCATCAGTACACTTGCTGAGCCAGTGTCATGGGTATATTATTCGGTCATGTTTTAATGATCTTCACCTTGAAGTTGCCCTCTTAGATGCATATGCCAAATGTGGCCTCATAGGTCATGCATATATGATATTTCAATCAAGTGCTGATAAGGATCTGGTTATGTTTACTGCCATGATCGGTGGGTATGCTATGCATGGCATGAGTGAAGAAGCACTGCGGATTTTTTCTCATATGCTCAAGTTGGGTATCCAGCCAGATCATATTATCTTTACTTCGATATTATCAGCTTGCAGTCATGCTGGCCGAGTAGATGAAGGACTGAAGATATTTTATTCAATAGAGAAACTTCATGGTATGAAACCAACCGTGGAACAATATGCTTGTGTGGTAGATCTCCTAGCTCGAGGTGGCCGCATTAGTGAAGCATACTCTCTTGTGACCAGTTTGCCAATTGAAGCTAATGCTAATCTTTGGGGGACATTGCTTGGTGCCTGCAAAACCCACCATGAAGTAGAATTGGGGCGTGTCGTAGCAAACCAACTCTTCAAAATTGAAGCTAGCAATATAGGAAACTACATAGTATTATCAAATTTGTACGCAGCAGATGCTAGATGGGATGGGGTAATGGAAGTCAGAAGAATGATGAGGAACAAAGATTTGAAAAAGCCAGCTGGATGCAGCTGGATCGAAGTAGAGAGAACAAATAATGTTTTTGTGGCTGGAGACTGTTCCCACCCTCAAAGAAGCATTATTTACAGTATTGTACATACATTGGATCAACAAGTTAAAGAACCCAAGGAATTTTTAGATTAATCTTGAATACACATCTCATAGACAAATTTATTGACCCAATCCGACAAGATTTTTTTTTCTTTCAATAGGATTAAATACCATTGTATGGATCACCACTTTATAAACTAAGTAGACAAAGGTAATTAGTAAGAGATACATTATTTCATTGAACAAACATTTATATGATTATTGAATGTAAACTGATAATGTGCTCATTGTTAATCACTTAATTAGTATGTATAATTAAATTATCACACAGATTATATTTGCAATTCAAAACCCGTTCACACTTAACCTGGTTGAGAGAGAAAGATAATAGTATGTGTATAGATAGATTCAGTCGGTCTATGTTTGAGTGAAATCTCTCAGGCGCTTCGGGCAGGAAAAATCGATTCATAGATGAAGCAACTTGAAGATGCTTCTGTGTTGCTCAAGTCAGTTTAAGATATGTTGGATGAATTTTTATCTCATTTTCATCATACGATTGCCTCTTCAACAAGGTTTATCATATAATGGCTGGATCTTCAGCAAAAATCAGGTAAATTGCTGATTTGAGCTGCTTTGCTTTAGTTCTCCAAATTATTTTGGTCAATGTTTCTTTTTCTTCATTGACGAAAGAAAGATATTTGGTTGGAATTGACAATTTTTCAGTTTTTGGTTTTTTGCTGAAGAGGATGCATGGTACCTATGTGGAAATGGAAGCTGTCCAATTATTAGATTGCTGATGTAAACCTGTGTTTCTGAAGTTTGTGAAGGGGGTACTAAATGGATTTGGCTTTTCATTCATTCTGATCACTCTCCTTAAATTTCCTACATTTCATCCCTGTTGGTAGCTTTGCC